CTGCCAAATACGCAACTTTCCTCCCATCCCATCTGCGTCCGATCGCTCAACCTTGCCCAGAAAGAAGGAGAAAAATTATTTTAGCTTGCAGGCCAGACCACACACTTATAACCAGGATGGAACTCATATAATAGTGACGTCATCAGTCACTACAAAATTCATTTATCTGAGCAATGAGAATTATCCATGCCCTGTATTCCTTTCTTTTGCTTTTTCCTTCCTCTTTTTCGCCAGGGTGGATTCTGGTGCATAATTCCTTGATGCAAAGGAGGATGGAAAGGTTGCGTGAATACAAAATGAAAACTTCCGAAATTGGCCCAGAAGCATCCACCAATGGCACAAAACATCAGGAACAAACCCAGAGCGAAGCATTGAGATGATGGTACATGGAGAATGGAAGTGGGAGATGAAGCCAGATGACCTAAGAAGCAAATTCTCCCCTCCCATGGTTCAAGTTAAGTTATTTTCCAACATCAATTTTATTGTGAGAAAAGAAACTTCCTCCCCCCTCCCTTGTTGCAGACCGCAGGAAGAAGCAGAGGAGGAGAAATCACCATCACCATCATGACTGAGCCATAAATTTCCATCCACCTGAGGTGCACTGCAGGAAGAAGCAGAGGAGGAGAAACCACCATCACGATTATGACAGAGCAAAAAATCTCCATCCACCTGAGGCACACTGAGGGGAGAAAAGAGAAGAGCCAAACAAATCACTTTATCCCCCCCTCTGCCTGTGCACATAACAACATTACTACGATCATTATATGTTACCTACTTATTCAAACTAGGCCATTTCCACACCTGTGCACAGGAAGCAAAGAGAAATTTTCCCCACCCAACCAACTCCACTTGGAGGCAAATTTCTATTTTGACATGCACACATGTCCAACCAGCTCCACTTGGATATACAACATTCCATTCCCACCATTACATTTTCAACCAGCTCCACTTGGAGCTGGAAATGGATAAAAGACCGCAACAATTTTCCCCCATTACCAGTTTCACAACATCAACGTAACCATCATCATGTGTTGAAGTACAGCTTCCAGATCAAGGTAAATCTTCAAGAGGAGCAACCCTGAGATCAGCACGTTTTACAAGCTGGTCAACAACACCACCAAAAGGGTGGGAAATGTTGCTGATCCTGGGGTTGTTGCTGTCGACATTCTCGACGTTTGATTTCCCGCGTTGCACTGGGAGGGAACGAGAGAGGAAGGCGGAAGAAGAAAGAAAAAGATGCTGGCCGCTGCAAGGCTCATCGTCGTGACGGTGACGGCCACGTTCCACCTCTGCCTTCGGGAAGTTCCAAAACCCTTTCTTCTGATCTCTTCCCACGAACAGCGGGAGTCGATGACGACGACGAACACGGTCGTGCGGCTCGCTTCATCCCCCGGTCTCGTTTGACCAGAGAATGGACGAACTCTGCCCCCTCCCTCCAAAAGGGAAACATGATTTATCTCAGATTCGGTGCTTGCTTGGGGGGAATCCATGCGAAAGATCGCTCCGGAAGTCCTGGTACCACGAGGAAACAGGTCGGTCGTAACTGACCTGCAGAGCGTCAAGCGTGAAGGGTTCTGGTCGTAACTAGGCCTGTAAGACGCGACCGCGTGCCGTCCCGGGGCCTCGCGTTTTTCCCTGCCCGTTCGAAGGTCGTTTGCTTCTTTTTGGGGAACCGGCAACTCGCCACCACCACATCGGGAACGGTTTGCTCGCGGAAGGGGATCAAGCACGCAGATGTGGATCAGCGAGGGAGGCCCGGTTTGTGAACGGTTGCTTGGCCGTGCCTCCTCTTGGGGAGATCTGCCACCCCATGCCGCGTTTGCGAATTCGTTTTTTGCCGCCCCAAATGGCGCCCGAGCATCTGTGCCGAAAAAATTTCCCTGCTCCGAATAGGATTTCAAAAACCTGTGAAATAAGCAAATTTGAATGTTTCAGAGAAGGCTGAATTACCCGTGCAGAACAAACAAATAAATCGAAGCAGCAACCAGGTGAACAGCAGGTAAAAGTGAGGTATTCTAACTGGTGAAGACTTGATCAATCCAAGCTGGTTTGCGACGTCATGGCTCCCACCAAGCAACAAGAGCAGAATACGTTGAGAGGCAAAACACCTGCCACACATCCAAACCCCAACTCCTCTGGCCAGTCGTCCATGATGGCTGCGCCACATCCAAATTTATCAATCGCTGATTTATCCAATGACATTTTAGTTAAAGACATGACCATTAGTGAGTTACAGAGACACCTAAAGGAAATAGGAGGTGCCACAGTGGCAGTTTGCAATCAAGCTGCAGTTACAGACGACTTGACAGCCCACCTGATGGGAGACAAGACCCTGAACAAAGGGGATGAAGAGTTCAAAAGGAAGCTGGAGTCCATGAGGCTTAC